TATGGTCAATATTTGGCACAAAACAGCGCCGATTTTCAAATGGTTCCGTCTCATAACGAGATTCCGTATAGGTCTACGTTTCCCACGCTAAATCTTCCTCATAGCACATTGCGTGGCGTATGCCCGTCTTTATTAGCATGGATGGTTCAGAAAAGTAGGACGTTAAACTCCATACCATTTTATTTCTATGTCATAAATTAAAGTGTGGTGACACTTTGAATTTCTAAATTTAATATCTCATAAATTCTAAGCGTGCTCAGACTTAGATTGTTGATGAATTAAGTTTTCTTTGGTAATCTTAAAGTAGCTAAGTCTCTTACTCAATATCTTCCAAAACCTTCGACCTTGAAAACACGAATTAGTTGTCAATTTTAATCAACATTGGTGCTGTGATCTTACCGGGAAAAGATGGGCTTCTGATATCCGATATTTAAGACAAAATAAACATTTTACGATTGGTACACGAATCGTGTACCATAATGCGTTTCAGCGCAATTGGTAACAAGCGACTCGAAGAACGAGGTTAGACATATTCCACAAGTCATGTCAAACGGTGACCCCATATTCTTATCTGAACAGCATGCGCAATAAATACTATCGGTGTAGACTGGAATAATCAGATGCTAGAGATTGCCATTCGATTGAGACTTCTGCCGTATTTCACTGAAAATAACTGCTTTGAAATTAGAGTTAAAACGGAAATGATTAAATGTAAATCAGTTTATTTACATTCCTATTACATTATTATATAACTTGCGATCCATTTGTGTCAATTTGTAGGTCCCAAATATTAGCGATTTAGCTCCTTTAACTATACATATTGAAATAAGATTTCAAAATATTTTTATGACCCGGGGCCATTGTACTTCTGTGAACTGGTATTAATGGTTGTAAAACTTAAGAGAAATCCAACTTTTAAAAAGTTTTTGTTTTATTTGTACAGACACTTTACGCTCTAATTACGCTTGGTGATCTACATACTAGTTAAATTGGTCTAACAATCTACATTGTGTAAAACTATTTTAACCTTGTAGTTAAAACAAAGTATGTTAAGCGTCAAATACCGAAGAATACGTGTAGGTTGGGTTTTAATATGAAATGAAATGAGGTTTAAGTTTAACGTCGTGAAATGAAATGTGGTTTAACGCCCTACTTTTCTGCGCCAACTGGTCTAATGGTCACGGGCGTAAGCCATACAGTGTGCTATGAAGAATGTTTTTCTCAGACAGCGGCGCTACGACCTACCCTTATATAGAATTCCAATTGTCAAAGAGTCTTATACGTGGACACCAACGTGTACACGGAACCGCGGTTTTTCGTACAATCCGAATGACTAGACACTGTCTTTTCCAGGCCTCCCTTCCTGTACCACTTACAAGGGAGAATCCACAGCTGTCCTTTCCAGGCCTCCATTCCTGTACCGCTGACAAGGGAGAATCCACGCTAGAAAAACTTTATCTACCGCACCCGGTTTGACATCCTATCCCATCTGAGCTAGTGAAGACGGTTTTATATGTTAAGAGTTTGGAAGGGGACTCGAATGCACATATTCTTTTAGGCAAAGTATTTTTCAATTCCAATATAAAGATTGTTCCACCTGTTTATCTTTTATTACTGTTATCAACACGTGCAAAGACATGTTTCGCTACAAATTGACACTAAAAGGTCGCTAAGCAATAATGTAATATGAATGTATATAAACTGATTTACATTCAATCGTTTCCGGTTTTTACTCTTATTTCAAATCAGTTATGTTCGGCGGCGAAATATGCGAGAAGTCTCAATCGAATGGCAGTGTGTAGAGTCTGGTTATTCCATTCTACACAGGTAGTATTTATTGCGCATGCTCTCCAGATAAGACTATAGCCTCACCGGTTGACATGACTTGTGCAATATGTCTAGCCCTGTTCTTCGAGGGCCTTATTACAAATGGCGCTGAAACGCATTCTGGTACACGATTCGTGAACCAATGGTAAAATGTTTATTTTGTCTTAAATATTGATCACGGTAAGATCATATGATCAATGTTGATAGAAATTGACCAACAAGTCGTGTTTTCAATGTCGAAAACCGTGTTTGATATTGAGTTAGAGACTTAGCTACTTCAACGTCACTACAGATACGGTCATGTTGCATTTAACTATCCGCGGTGCAATAAAATAGACTTCAATCGATAGCGACAAGCCGACACGATCACCAGACATTTTTAAGTACAAAATATGTCATGTTCCCATAATTTGAAATTAGTCTACTGATCATTCTTCGACTGATTGAAAGGCCTGGATTACCAGGACTATTCTATACGAAATATTACACAAAGCTAGAACAGAAAATCTGAGATACGAATAGTACTAAACCAAAATATGCCGCTCCTAACCGTATAGTTAACAATTTACACCCCCACCCCCACCCCACCCCCAAAAATAAAAAAATACATAATACCAGAAATGATTAAATATTACTGCATATACGACTGGTATACATTATAGTTTTTAACGCTTTGTTATTTGATAGATGCGCAGACAATATTACTGCTGTGTGGGTATTGAAGAATATAGATGAAGATAGACCCCTATTCTAATTATGACCCCCCCTCCCCACCGCAATCACCCACCTTCACGGGGATGATGAGGGATGTTTAAGGATTACGACTGTGTCTACACATTTTATAGATGCCCCCAAGATCTTAAGGCTCTAGGCTTCAGCCTGCCAAGTCTATGGGTAGACCCCCCCCCCACCTGAATCTCCCACCTTCACGAGGATGATGTCTAATGTTTAAGTTTGCAGTGCGTGCAACAAAGGCTTATTACTGTCTAAAAAATGTATACACCTTGGCCGCAGGCCCCCTAGATCTTCAAGCTCTAGGCTTCAGCCTGCCAAGTCTATGGGTAGATTCGGCACTGTGTTTGGGACACGCTACACATGCCATGATTCGAACATGGTGAGAAATTCTTTGCACTTGCTACAGAGGACGACCCGAGTATGATGAACCCATCTTTTTCGTCTCTAGTGTATATATTTGATTTTTGTTTATAACGTCAAATCAGATACGTCATACTTTGGCACTCTCTTTTAGAGAAAGATTTAGAGCTCATTCTGGTACAACTACCATACAAAAACCGAAGAAAAACACCTACATCGGATCAGGGTTGAACTATAGATGCCACAGTCACTGAACTAGCTACTTGCGACATTCTTTGAAACAGAACTGTTTGGGAGGATACATTAGGCTTTGGACTACAGCCACCCTCCATCATTCATCATTGCATAATGAATGGCTGGAATAGGGTTTAACGTCTTACTTTTCTTCATCAACCCGGATAATGATGACAGCCGTACGCCATAGTGTGGTATGAGGGAAAATTTGTCCGGAAAGCATTATAATTCCAGCTGTCAAGGGGTCTTTTAAGTGCACTTGCAAACCCCAGTCTTTCGTACAAATCCTAACTAAGCACCTTTTCTTATATACCAGGCACAACATGACAAGGGAACATTATAGACACAATGCCAAACTGACGTTAAATGCTCCAAATAACCACTCATGCTTTTTCCAATTAGGCTATAAAATTGCAGTAATAGCAAAAATTTGAAAAAGAGATTGATTATAAAAACACGCCCCTGAAGATTGACATGACTTCCAAAATCAATTTACATATTGCTAGTCTTTGATAAATAGAGCATATAAGACGGTTTACATGACTTTTATGTGGTGTGATTGTATTTATGTGCAAGTTGCTTTTTGTCGTGTCTAAAAGAGGAAAGATTCAAATCTAAGTTCGTTCTCATTTTGATCTAAATATTTAATTCTGAAATGTCAAAGAAATGAAATGAAACGGGTTTAACGTCCTACTGTTCTGCTCCGATTGGGCTAATGAAGGCGGGATATACATGACTAAATATCTGACTTCTCCCTCTAGCTTTTGGTTGGTATTTTGAAGTCGATTGCCATTCCGAAAATGGGGTGTGTGCCGGGGGGGGGGGGTTCTTGGGTCTAGACTGCTAAATTTCATGGATCGAATGCGCTTGAGAATGTCGACGCAGATTCCGTAATTGACATAAAATTTTAATCATTTGCCTCTCCATGATGCACTTCAACGGCATTTAGTGATTGGACTGGATATGACACAGTTCTATGAAATCAACAGTAATTGTACTCCATAGAATTATGCCCTATTTTTTATGACGTATGTTAAATCCCCGGCCGCCTATGTTATTATACCTAGGCGTAGAATTCGTATAGTGTGGGTTGTATTTTGTGGAATCGTTAAGGATTAAGCGTCAAAGCGGTATATAATGAAAGAGAGATTTGGGAAAATCCGGGTCGAATGTTGTGGTTCATCTACAGCAGAAGTTCTCAACGCAGACTTAAGGAATAAGAATTCATTTATTTAGGCGACGTTTTGTCGAAAGATCACTCAATGTTTTCAATCAAGTACAATAACAAAAGTAGCTCAAATAAATTGGTAATTGTTCTTTCATAAGTATTTATTGTAGTTAAGTGCTTTATTCAGTCAGTAAGTATATCTAAATGATAAGTATAAAGCTTCTTTGATTGGCATTTAGTAATTGAACATATTAACACAAGGTACAATTTTATGGATACGCAATTACTGAGTTTAATACTAAGCGACGTTCCGATGAGGATACCCTCGTCTTTATCAAGAGAAAAAGCTGTTTACAACCGGCAATTGGTTTCCTCCGATCTCTTGCTCCTTATAAATTGTCATTGAGTCGACTGGCGTGGTTTCGAATCCCCGGTTGTACGTGACAAGGAGTAGTGTCGACTGTCCAACCTCGTGGGTTTTCTCCGGGTCCTCCGGTTTCCTCCCATTGCTAAAGACCCCTATGCGCAAGCGAATTATTGAAATAAAATTAAGTCATATGTTAGTCCCGAAATGACCTAGTTTATGTCGAGTGGACGTTAAAAACCATTTCTCTCTCTCTCTCCCCTTATAAATTGCTGGTTTGGGCGTCACAAGATTAACAAACAACCGAGTTAATAACATGGAACTTAGATTTATTTCAAGGAATAAAATAAAAATAAAACATTATACATGAATGACAAAATAACAAAAAAGAATGGTTTAGCGATCGCTTTGTAGCAAACATTCAATAATAAATAAAATCTCTCAATTAACATTGTTCGGATGTTTCTCATACGGAGTGAAGCCTACAATAGTCGTTAGGAGTACTTTGATTAAGCAATTCCAGTTGTTTTTTCAAGGGCATCACACATATTCAAATTTGATTCCAATATTTTTCCGGGTTCCAGATGTCTTTATCAGGGAGCAAAACTTTCTTTTTTCAAAAAAAGAATTGAGGGTTGGAGACCAAGCCAGGAACAACACAAAGAAAATCTTGACTCAATGGGCTACATAAACAAATTTACCAACGGAAAGAAACAGAAAGGCAACATATTCATAAACATATACATATAAATACTCTGTTTTCTAGGTCACACTGGACACCATTTTGTCCCAGAAAGAACAAAGAAATGACAAAAAAAAAGCAATTTCTGTCATCGATCCCAGGATAACATAACATCGCGATAGTTCTCGTTTTCATTTAGCACAAACATCACATTTACAAAATAAACCAGAAACCACACCACATAAAAAGTTTACGGTTCATTCTCGCGTGCAAGGTATAAAGGTCATGGGATACTATATATTTGACTATATATACCACATTTTATTATGATGGTTGATTTGATTTCAACATCTCCACTTCTCGTTTATACAAGGGTTACCCGTATTAAACTTTTCGAGTAAAATTTTGGCCACTTTTGTTACCAAGAATTTCAGATTATTGTTTTTCATGCACTTTTACAATATAAAGAGAAGACTTTGCACCATTTTGAAGCCTGACCCGTTTGGTTTTTAAAATTAAAAACACCAGTTTTTTTGTTTATTTCATATATATATTTTTTTAAAAAAGGTTTATATCACTTGGTTTCAACTTGAATTTTCATTGACGTCGTCGGCAATGTCTGAGGCGCTATCGTTTATTTTTGTGTCTCCGTTTATATCTTTTATTGCTTGTCTCTCTTTTTTCATCTTCATTCTTCGGTTTTGAAACCATATTTTTATTTGTCGCTCTGTCAAACATAACGTATGTGCTATTTCAATTCGTCGTTTCCGTGTTAAATAGTGATTAAACTGAAATTCTTTCTCTAATTCCAACGTTTGATATCTACTGTATGTTTGTCTTCCTCTTCGTCTTTGAGCAGAATTTGGCCCTGAAATTATAGAAAGGTAAAATCGAATATAAGAATGTGGTAACAACGCGAAACGAAAACGTTGATAATGATACTAAGATATAGTAACCCACCCTTTGACACATACGTAATAGGGTTCAAAGGCTGAAATCAAGGGAGCGAACTCGCACATAGTATTGCCTCTCTGCTTTTAAAAACCAGATAGGTTAGCTACGAGTTTTGGTCACCTTTATCGGCGTTAATTCACTAACTATGTCACTACTCGCAAGAAAATACCCAAGAAAACACTTTGTCTATAATATGTTGTCTTTAAAATCAGAGAGTATATAAGGATCTATTTGAAGATCACTTGAGGAGGCTGAAAATAGAGAATGTCCTTAAATTGGAATATAACCATACGTGACAGTTATATGGTGTAGATGGCACAGGGTTACATCTATTGAATATGTAAATATCTCATCTACTAGGTCTATGTCACTATGTCACTGTCGGGTAATGACTACACTTTAAATATATTAAAATGCAAATTTATTACTTTATCATGAGTCAAAATTCACGCCATTTTATCGACAGAATAAAGTTTTTATGGTGAACGAATAGTAACAATACATTTACTAGAATTATATATGCAAATTAATTATTTTACCATGAGTCAAAGTTCACGTCATTTTATCGACAGAATAAAGGTTTTTTTTTATGGTGAACGAATAGTAATAATACATTTACTAGAATTATATATGAAAATTAATTATTTTACCATGAGTCAAAGTTCACGTCATTTAATCGACTGAATAAAAGATATTATGGTGAACGAATTGTCATAATACATTTACTAGAATTATCGATTATGCTTTGTGTAAATAATTTCACGGGGTTTATAATACTTTTACATACATCAGTTGCTGTTTTCAGTAAATGATTTATCAATTGATTATAATTCTAAGTATTTTTGATGAATTCATTAAAGTGACACAGTTTAACATTGGAAAGATGGAAACAGCGTGACACATTTATTAGTGAAAATTTAATGAAGTGTAGCTTATTGTTCAACACGTGTTCCGTTTAGTAAAAAAAAAATCTATCAAATGACACAACTATGCTGGTAAGATGTGACACATGTTCATTTCAAACGAAGTTACCCAATGAATCGAACAAATATAAAGGCCCAGGGTCGATGCATGTTTCGATGTTTATTGTGGGAGACCATAAAATCACCGCCATGCATGTTCGCAAACAATGATCAATAGAACTTGAATATTATCATAAAAGGTCATTGAAACTGTAGTTAGTAATTTAGTTGACACGTTGATTTAACGATGTATTGTAAATAGTGGTGTGAACCTTTAAAGGAGCTAAATCGCTAATATTTTGGACCTAGAATGGGTCGAAACGCATATAATAATGTATATAAACATGTGAATGTATATAAACTGATTTACATTCAACCGTTTCTGTTTTTACTGTCTTGGCAAAATAAGCCTCATAGCACATGACACATGACCGTTGGAATCAGCCTGGTTGCTCCAGAAGAGTAGGACCTTAAAACCCCATTTCACAGTTAGAATTTCGCGGGTAGTAGGCCGAAACGACGCTATGTGGGCAAAATAACCCTCATAGCACATAGCATATGACCATCCGAACCACCCCGGTTGGTACAGAAGAGTAGGACATTAAAATCCGATTTCACCGTTAGAATTCGGTAGTAGGCCGAAACGCCGCTATGTGGGAAAATACCCCTCATAGCACATGGCATATGACCGTCTGAATCATCCCGGTTGGTCCAGAAGTAGGATGTAGCATCTTAAAACTCCATTTGATTTCGTTTGATTTCATTTCCTATCGTGGCTTTTGTTAAATGTATTCACATACTATTTGACCACTCGTCTAATTCTGGCATTAAATCATTAAAGTCGGAGGGAAGACTTTGGTCCTTCCAAGGATGTTTTATAACCTTGGGGGGGGGGGGGATCACGTGGCTAAGTGGGTAAGACGCTGGCTCGCTAGCCTGGAGGTCGGATGTTCGATCCCTGCATTGGCCGAGAAAGTTCGTCCAGATTTTCCGGCGTGGTTTCCCCTTGTCAGTGATGCAGGACGGAGGGCCTGACAAGGACAGCTGTCTAGTCGTTCGGACGAAAAACCGAGATCCCGTGTACAAATTGGCGTGCACGTAAAAGATCCCTTGGCAGTTGTAATTCGATATAAGAGTAGGCCGTAGCGCCGCTGCCCGGGCAAAATTTCCCTCATAGCACACTATATGGCGTATGCCCGTTATCATTAGCCCAGTTTAGGAGCAAAACAGTAGGACGTTAAACCCTATTTCATTATTTATAATCTTGGGTAGGTTATTACATAAGAAATTAACAGTTTAATATTACTGTCCTTATTTTGACGCCAAATAAAACACAAACAAGCCAAGTGAATTTTATATAACATAATATAGCTATGTCGCTCTTACGTCGGGTAAATCCTGCGACTGACACACAACAAGAATAACTGATCAGTCGGAAAATGTCTTATTTTCATGAAAATCTGTCAGGCTGAAATAAAAAAAAGCTTTCATTGTGAATAAGCTATTTTTAAGTTTTTTACACTTGTAGTAACTGTCAGAGAAAATCGGAACCGCATCAGCTCTGGTACTTAGTAAAGATTTCCTCGTCCTCGCAAAATCAGAGTTAGTCAATATGCGCACTAATATAATTCGATCGATTTGCGACCTGATTCAATATGACTGTATATATCTATTCGAAAGCTGTATGGTAAGAGCATTCTGATTGGTTAGTTTAATAAGTCAATAATTGCACTAACATAATTCAATCGATTTGTGACCAGATTCATTCTTCTTTACCTATGATCAGCAGGGGTCGTCATGATTGTTGATGTCTATTCGAAAGGGGTATGGTAAGAGCGTTCTGATTGGTTAATCTAAAAAGGCCTGTGTTATCTTTTGGCCTGGATGATTTCGTACTTGTGATCTAGGGGTCGCCATTATTGTTAATGTCTATTCTACAGCATTCGGTCTGGTTATTTTGCCTTCAAGATCGGTAGACTAATATACCCAGGCGTTCAACAGCTACATTGTACCTGGACTACAATTATTAAATAACTCTGCGAGCATAAGACTTCCCATGGCCGTCTTGTTACAGACAACCATGCCGAAGGGTTCAATACTCGAACCCAACAAGTTTAGATCCATATTAGGCATTAACATACCAATGTAAAGCCATTTTAAACGAAGAACAAAGCTTTTCTCACACCTTGACATATTATGTTAAACTCGTTTGTTTTGGTGACAGACTACAAAGTAGATCAAACATTTCTGATGGACGTAACATGCATCTACATGATGCCCCTAGCCATATATCAAATACATATTGCAAATAAAAACAGTTGTTAAATTGGTGGGTTTTTTTCTTAACACAGACAAAACGAAAGCCAAGGGTGATAAAACGATTTGTCAAAATGTCATAATCCTGTCTGAACATTTAGAGAAAGGGATAGAATTTGCCTAGAAATTAAATGAGTCGGAACGGTAGAAATAGTTTTCGAGAGATCAAAGAAGCTAATCAAGTAGGAGTTGTATTTTCATTAACTGTAACATTGGGTCTTAAGATGAATGAAAAACAACTGCGTTATAAGCATGACCATTAATTTCTTGGTACCAGTACAAGAATATTCTAAAAGGTCGTTGTCACTGAACCAGAACATCGCACTTACTAACATACATATTTTGACACGTGCTATGTAAGCATTTTGCATCTGAATGTGAAATATCAAGGTTACGGGGAACAAAGATATATTTCTTCTGTCTAAACCTTGAGGCAGCTCAGCGTGTGTAAATGTGTGGTTATTTTTATATCTACTTTTTTATTTGTATGTTAAAGTATTTTAAATATATATATATATATTTGGTAGAACTTAATTTTTTTTTATACATTTGTTTTAGAAAATATTTGTATAGTGCAGAGTCTTATGCTAAATGGTAAAAAAAAACCCACGAATATCCTGTGTTGTGAACAGTAGAAGTCTTCTAATCTATAAAGAGAGTGGGAAATGGTGGGGGTATTTAGCTGTGGGAGGAAAGCGGGGAACACTGAAAACCCACGAGGTCAGGCAGGCGACTCTACTCCACTTAAGTCAATGAAAGAACATGATCTAATGCCAAATCGTTAGAACATTCGGCCATTCGACCACCTATCCCTCCTCAGCCTTCTATAACACTGGGCACCCCATCTAATATATCACATGGCTTACTTACATTGTCTGTCATACAATTCTAAATACTAGATTATTAACTACTGAGAGATCGTAAACGTAGATCTGTAAACAGGGAATCTATTGCAATATCATTATCACGTTTTTACATAATAGCTGTTCCAAAACGTGAAAGCATAACATTCGGTTGAGGAATAATATATAATTATTTTTTTTTTTTTTTTTTTACGGACAATTGAATTAATATTAATTAATATACTTATATATTCATGTACTTTGAATGTATTCATGTAAGTTTCATAGCTTATATTATAATGATATTGTCATTCCTTCAACTTGAAGAACTGTTGCCTTTAAAATTCAAACTGGCCTGATAGTACTGAAAACATTTGTATTATATCGTATTAATTCTTGACCAATTTTAAGTCAACTATTCAGATTTTACGAGAATATTTTTAAATACAAAAGAATATAATTCAGTGCTTCTAGGGGAAGTCGTCACTTTATGCTAATATTAATACAATCCAATAAAAAAGACAACTTTATTAAAGAATTCAAGCGTTAAATAGTTTTGATTTAATACAATAACATGCTGTCATAACTGTTGCAATATCACTCACAATAGTTCCAATAAAAACCTAAATAATTAATGGTTTGCGTTCACAATATTAGCATTAATTACCAATAACTGAGAAATTAGTTAGGATTTTTTAATGTTTGATTTGACATTTTACACCATCCCATTTGTAATCCTAAATGAAATCATGAAGTCATTACAGATCATGAATTCAGCGGCAATGGCTTATCTC